TTGAAATGATATATTTATGTAGATATTGAGCCTAAACAAGTTCCGGAATAATCAAAGGATTATAATCGAATCAAAGCAAAGCTAAGGTGAGTGTAATTTTAATTGTACTTATATTGAACGAACATTGGCTTGTGATGAGCTAATGATGGAGTTACTATGGTAAGAAGTGACTCCTAAAATATTATTTGATATGTGATTCTTATATGTACATGAATACATGATATGCATAAACATAAGAGCATGAAACATAAGATATATGATATGATATACATGATTATATGCATATGTGATATATGTTATGAGATATGACCAACGTGAAATGAAATAAGCTATGTGAATATATGAAATGACATATGAATATGCAATATGTGATATGATATGAAATATATGGTTACACATATATGTGGTATGTGACAGAAGAGAAAGGACAAGTGATGAGAAATATATTCATAATAAATGCCCATAGTATATGATACGAGAGCTATAGGTATAGTTGGCATGCCAAGAGTTGAGGGTATTGTAGTCCTTCGGGACGTAGTGGTCCTACGGGACATATATAGCAGTCATTCAGGACGAATACTGAACAAATGTTCGGTGCCCCATGAGGGAATTTATACGAGCTGTGGTGACAACATTGGTGCACAACCTCAATGTACTCACATACTTCTATTCTCAATAATATACATGGGCAACAACAACATCAATTGAAATAAATTAAAGTGAAAGTGATGCAAAAAGGTAAGTTTCATGTGTGCATGACTTGATTATATGTCATAGGAAATATATCCATGCATATTGAAATATCATGATCAAATAGTAAGAATGCATATTCATGAATCTACTGTTACATGTTTATTTATTGCCTCACTAAGTCTATGACTTAGCGTGTAAGTGATTTACACGTAGGTACCAAGAAACGTGAAGAGCAAGAATAGAAGTAGCAAGGACAATATTATTACTAGAAGATCATATCAGAAGTAATCGACAAAGTATGTATTTTGTTGTGTATAGAGTGTTGGCATATAATAAGTCGTTAATTATGAGCACTCTGATCAAGTTTGTATTTTGTGGTCTTTTTTATGTAAATTAAAGTATTTTGTTTTAAACAAGTTTTAAATTCCCCGGGGTTTTTCTTTAAGTGTCAAGGTTTGAAAAGTCAATGTGACACCTCAGACTCGTATTCGGGTTGGGTACGAGTTTGGGTGTTACATTAATATGTTAAAATTTGATCCCAAAATCTCAAACAACTATCATATTTCAATCAATAGGTTAATGTCCAGCTCAGACTATCATCAATATTTTAAAAAAATGACGATTTTGAAACATATAAATAGTAGGGAGACTATTTTGTAACTTTTAATAATTGAGGAACTCAAGAAAAGCAACACCATATAATCGAATGATCATTTTATAACTTTTAATAGACATGAGACTCAATAAAACAACTTCTGATAATCGGAACCATTGTGTACTTTACCCTTTATTTTAAATCTTAAACAGTTTTTTTAATAAAATATATTATGATTATAAATCAATTGAGTAATAATTATTTTAGAAAAAGGAAGACATCCAATCAGATTGGAACACAAAAAAGAATGATAGAGGTGGAGGAAAATATAATTAAAATTTTGAAAAGTCAGTTTACAAGAAAAATGAGAGCAAAAATATAAAGGAAAACAAAGGAAAAGTAACGAATGATATATTTAAAGAAAATACATAAGGATTGATTATAAAATTTTAAGAATCATGATATTTATTTCAATTTTAGTATTTTTAATTACACCCCATTTTCATTTAATTATGGGTAGATTCTAATCTAATCATTATTTTTAATTTTGTTCATTAGATTGTTTAATAATTTAAATAATGTCAATTAATCCATTTATTGTTAACATTTGATAGAGGAATGAAATGGTAATGATCAAAATTAGTATAATTATATATTTAGTCCTTATCACTTACATATTGTATCAATTTGGTCTTAATTTTAGGGCATAATACAAAAAATAGTCTCCAACGTTTACCAAAGTGGTCATTTTGTCCCCTATTATGTTTTTGGAGCATTTTGACCCTCAATGTTTCATTTTAGAGCAAAAAGGCCCTCAATGGATAGAAACCATTATTTAACACACGATTTTTTTATTAAAGTTAACACACGATTACTGTTCCAAAATAGGAGATTTTTTTTACACTATGAAACGTTGGGGTCCAAAATGATCTAGAATAAAAGAGTAAGAGTTAAAGTGACTATTTAATCAAATTTTTGGGACATTTTTGTCCTAAAATGAGATATTGGGGGCCAAAATGTTTCAAAAAAATAGGGGCAAAATGACTATTCTGGTAAATATTGGGGGGTTAATTTTGACACTATGCTTAATTTAAATTTAATGGTAAGTAATGATGATAAATATGTAATGATTTTAAAGACTGCCACGTTAACTACTCTGTCAAATTTTAACGACAAATAACTTGATTGATATTATTTAAATAGTTAAATGGTCTAATTGATAAAATTAAAAGATTGAAGGTCAAATTGATTCTTCTTATAATTAAATTGTCATAGGTGTAGTTTATCCTTTTATTTTTTGAGATAATAATAAAATTAGTTGTAACATTTGCTTAAATGGACACTTTAACTCTTTATTTTTAGTATTTTAGCTCTCAATGTTCTAATTTTTGTCAAAATAATCCTTATTGGATGAAAATAGTTAATTGACTAATAATCAATGCATTTTGTGAATATGACATTTTACATGTGTTTAATTATTGACATGTTACATATCACTTCACCAAAACAATGATATGACATATGCACATCATCTAAAATAATGACATGACACATGTTATGTCATTTAAAATAATGACTCAATATGTGCCACATTACTCAAAGTAATGACGTGACATGTGTCATATTAACAACACAAGTTGAATGTTAGTCGGGAGCTATTTTAACTCACAAAATAAAATATTGTAGTTAAAATATTCAAAAAGTTGATACCAAAGTGGTCACTTGTACAAATATTGGGTTAATATTATCATTTTACCTTTGTTATTTTTAATAATTTATAGATAAAATGTGATCTATGTTTAAAATAATTGGGTAATTAAAAAACGGTTAAATTATTTACTTGAAATTTATCTTAATTTCTTGCACTGTCTCAACAAGAAGATATATTTTATTATTCATTTCATTTGCCATATTCCACTACTTACTTGACAAGAAAAGAAAGTGTGACGAGTACAAAATAATAATAATAATAATAATAATAATAATAATAATAATAATAATAATAATAATAATAATAATAATAATAATAATGTAAAGGAGAAAAAGTCGGTGCATTTAGCATGGTGGTTGATTTATTTCAATCAAGGAAGATATCCAATAGCTCTTCTTTTTAATTTATACTCCAATTTGAATTATCAAATACATGTATTCATCAAGAAGTGATCAATTTTCACTAATAATCACCTTATGCTATACGAAATAATAATCTTTCGATAAAATTAACCCCCAACGTTTACTGAAGTGATCATTTTTTTTGGAGCATTTTAGCCTCCAACGTTTCATTTTAAGATAAAAAGGTGTCTAACATTTGACAGAATAATCACTCTGTCCCTTATTTTTTTATGAAACATTTTAACCCTCAATGTTTCATTTTAGGTTAAAAAAACTCATATTTTTTAGTATTAATCGTGTGCTAACAAATATTTTTCATCTTTTTGCCTCAAAATGAAACGTTGGGTTAGAATATCCCAAAAAAAAAATCAAGATGAGTAATTTGATAAACATTGAGGGTTATTTTGGTATTATGTGTATACTTAAAGGCTCACTTAAAGGTGGAGGAAGTTGATGAATTGAAGTGTCAGTCGATATCTTTAGAAAAATCTATTTGAATACATTCCGGTTAGTGTAATTTTAACTTCAATATACATACCTTTCCACTCTTCAATTCTTCATCCAACATGCATCCAATATAACTGAAGGCCATAAGTATTGGTGTGGACATGAAACAGAAAAGAGAATTTGATGTTCATCATCATGCACCGTATTCAAATTTAGTATTTTATTAATTTTGCATATTTTTTTATAATAATTATTTAAAACGTTTAGGTATATTTTAATATTATGAGAAAATTTGTGGATAGCCCAATTCGTGTATTAAATGTAAAGGCTTACTTGTTTAATAACATGCCTCTATAAAACTCAATCCGAAATAAGTATTTAATAGATCCGAAATATAAGTATGGGTAGGTACATAAGTATTTGCATAACATTTAAACTTATGATTATTACTGTTTGATTCGGACTATGATAATATTTATTGATTCGGATTATGTTATTACATGTTTTTATTTGGACTTTAGAGAGACATTAAACTTATTAGTTTACACCCCCATAATTTCTCTTTTTCAGATACTCGGATTAGATGAATCGATACTTGGAGTTACGATATTATTCAGATTTCATAATTTTCATAGTATGCCATTTTCTCGAATTTTCTATTTCATAATTTATTGATATTTTATTTGTATAATATTTAATATGTTTAAATATTTTGGGACACTGAACATAAATTATGTTCTGGACTGTAGACTTGAACTATGTATTTGATTATTATTTGATTTATTTGGTTTAATTAAAGTATTTAAAATCAATAAATGTAAGGGTTAATTTTAATGTATTTTAAATGAGCTTTTGGAAATAAATTAATAGGCCTTTTAAATATAATAAAATCATTTACCAATAATATTATGAAGACTGTGGTTTCCTTTATTATCCGAATGCCCGAGCAGCCGACCTTACTCCTTCTGTCACTCGCTCATTTTACTTACACGTGTCCCCCACGCTTCCCTAACGTGGCAATATCATTAACGTACTATTTGCCACGTGTAAATACATCCACCTACGTTTACATGCAAAATAAAAGGCAGTCCTTACCATATAAATAAAGCGAACCTCCCCCTTCTTTACCGTTTAAGCTCCTTCAAAGCGTTTTCTAAATCTTATACGAAAAGGATGGCTGATTTAAGAGATGAACACGGCAACCCGATTCAACTCACCGACGAACACGGCAACCCCGTTCAACTCACCGACGAACACGGCAACCCCGTTTATGTCACCGGTGTAGCCACCAAGAAGAATCCGGGCACTACTACGACGATGTCGAGTTTAATGGGACATGACACTGGCTCTGCCGCCGACCACACACAACAGCAGTCCCTGCATTTGGGAGTTGCCGGCGGCGGAGAAAAGATTCACCGCTCCAACAGCTCGAGCTCGGTATATGAAGATCGACAAACCAACTTTTATTTTACTGAATTTATATTTATATTATATTTAACTGTGGTTATTTATATTATAGTCGGAGGATGATGGGAAGGGTGGAAGAAGGAAGAAAGGGATGAAGGAGAAGCTACCAGGTGGCAAGTTTCCGGAGGAAGAGCAATCGGGAACCAAAACTGAGGCCATCAAAACCACCACGACCTCCACCACACTGGGCCAGCACAACGGCGAAGGGCACGAGAAGAAGAGTGTAATAGAGAAAATAAAAGAGAAACTACCGGTCATCATGGTCATACATTGAAAAATTGCTCTGTGAAATTAAAATATTTTCTATCGTTGATTTTATTTTTCTTATGTTGTGTTCTATAATAATGGGGCCTATGTGTTCTTTGTAAATTTCGTCTTTGAAATTTGAACTCTTGTTGTAAGGATTTCCCTAGACTCCCCGACTCTGTCTAAATATTTTTTTATTAATATGTGGTTCAAAGAACACTCATAATCATTCAATATTTACACTCCTAGTATTTTCGGTCTTCGAACTCAGATTTTAAGGAATAACAATAAATTTTTACCATTGAGGTCTTTTATATCCCACTAGATCCAATCCAACTTGACCGAGCTTCTAAGAACGAAGCACCAAGATAAAGCATCGACGTACTTTAGATCAAGCGCCCAAGCGAAGACATGTTTGTAAAATGGATTGCCTTGTAAAGTGAATAATTCGATATTCAATGAAACTTTTTTTATGATATTCTGGGGATCAATAGTGTTTTGAATTTTCATTCACATCCTTGCATCTATATGCAATTACATTTATTGAAGCATTATACCATTCATGCATTCATATAACACCTTAAATAATAAGATAAGATTTATGATCACAGTAATCTGGCTCTACTAGTAGCAAGAATATTTCACGCCCACACAATACAAGGAAGATGACTAAGGAGATGGAAAACAAGATAAAGAAAGTTGAGCAAGAATAAAAGGATATCCAAGAGAACATGAGAAGTAGGTTGGCTAAGATCAAGGTCGACATTGCAAACTCGCAACTCAATATGCTGAAGAAGATATATTCAAGGTGTTATATGGAGGATATATTCAAGAACCACATGACTATTAAGAAATTTCCTGCTAAAATCCCCACATTGTCTAGCCAAAACCCCAAGCATCCTCGGGTTCTACATCATTCATATTACTGTGGATACCCTGTACACCAGAATATCAACCAAGTGTTTTTCGTCATTGAGAACCTGCCGCAATATCAAGCGGGAATTTCGCACCACATTAACTATCCCATTGCATTTGGGATGAATTCAAAAGAGTTTCATGTTGACAATGAGGTCCTTGCTCTAAATGAATTTGCTCTAAATGAATTAGCTAAGAAGGAAAAATTCACTCAACAGGTGAAGAATTTGGAGGAGAGGATAAAATCTAGGGAAATGACTGAGTCATTTTATAGATTTGACTCCAAAGAGTTGAGTATGACTTGGTCCTTCCATCGAAGTTCAAGCTCCTAACTTCGAGAAGTATATGGACCACCTGTCATCGGCCACATCACCATGTTTTGTAGGGGAATGCTTGGTTACTTAGAGAATGAGAAGTTGTTGATCCATTGTTTTCAAGATAGTCTGATTGGTCACGCTTCCCGATGGTATAATCAACTAAGTCGTACTCAAATATGTTCTTGGAAATATTTAGTTCATGCCTTCTTAGTTCAATACAAGCACATGGTTGATATGACCCCTGATTGAACAACGTTATAAAATATGGAGATGAAGCGCAATAAGAGCTTTCGACAGTACGCCCAACGATGGAGGGATGTTACATCCCAAGTGCAGCTGCCAATAACTGAAAGAGAGTTTACCATCATGTTCATCAGTACCTTAAAGTCCCATATATCGATCACATGATAAGCTACCGCTAAGAGTTTTCTCTAACATCGTCATGTGTGGAGAAATGATCGAAAGAGCTATCAAGCATAGTAAGATAGAGGGCACTGACAATGCTAAAGTTGAGACAAGAGTTGAGGTCAACATAGTGGGATCTTATTCAGCTAATCAAGGGAACCAGATACTATAAGGTAAACCGAGAGAAGACTTTATGACCCAATTCTGATGGCATACGGATAATTGCTCCTAACACTGGTTGAGATGAACCTAGTGACTCCAGTATAATCCAAGCCAAAAGAACCCCCGTTTCTTGAGACCATGACATTAATGCAGTGTGTAGCTACCATATAGGAAGCTCAAAGCACACTACCGAGAATTGTGGGGCATTAAGGCGTAAGGTTCCAAATTTGATCAATTCTAGGGCATAGACATTCGAAGAGTGATGTGGAATTCTGATGCGAATAAAGAAAAATTCATTACATCCACCATGAAGCTTTGTTGCACTTGCATGAATTTTTTTATCTTGTTCGAACTTGTTTTTCATTCTTTCTTTTTAAAAGTTTGCCAATCACTTGATGCTCGAACATATTAAATAAAATGTTACCTTATGAGGTTATGAACAATGAGAAAAGTTCAATCTTGATATTCTCTAGATATCAACTGAGTTAAAATCTCTTTAAATATTAAGGTTATAAATATTAACGATTGGTAGGATTAAACCCTGGTAAAATGACCCTTGATCTACCTTGAAGGTACAGTAGAACACCATACCCTTCTCTTGCATGGACCAAGATAGCATTCTCATCTCACGAAGAGACTATCAAAGGGCTTAGCATTCATGTGTATAGGAGCGGATAAAATGGGGCACCTTACATATGAGGTTATAGAGCAGATTAATTTCTACTTTTGTTGATAACGTTTGATGATGACCGTAGTCTTTTTATATGGAATGATGGAGTATATGAATTTAGTTTAGGCCAGTTGCTTGGAAATTGAGCTCTTAACGATAAAATTTCCTAACTTTCACTAACACCTAGACTATAACAGATTTTTCTTGACGAGCAAAAGAAATCTTAAAATCAAAAGCCTAGGGAAATAATGAAAGCTAATTTTAACTTTGTTGGGGGCACTCCGCTTGAAGTATTAAGCTGTTAATCTTCGGAAGTAATGTCTGAAGCAACTTTGGAGGTAATGTCCGAGCTTTATGAAGTGAGTTCAGTTCGAGTTGTCAAGTCTGACACTAGTCTCTATGTGTCGAGAAGACAGCAAAATCAAAGTGAATACAAGAACACCAAACTTAACGAAGTATAATTTAAAGAAAGGTATAAAGGCCTAAAGTAAATGTGAATTGAGAAGAGTTTCAATGAAATGTGGACTAAATGGGTTGAGAAAAATTTGTTATAGTCAATTTCACAAACACTTAGGAATTTTATTTTTAGACCAATATTTCCGCACTACCTTTGCTGAAGAAGTCTATGAAGCTTGAATAAATGAAAGATTCTAGAGAACTGAAATAAAAGTGTTCTAAAAGGTCTAGCAATTGAATATGCTAGTTTCAACATTTTGTCCGCATCTGATTAAATGCTAATCCATAAATGAGGGTCATGTTCCCAAGGACAGAGAAAAGAATAATGACTCGATGATTAAAACCTTTGAAAAATAGAAAGCCAACCTGAAATCAACCCATCAATCCTGACACTTGTCATAGAATAATTTGAAAATTTAAAGAGAAGTTGATTCTTTTTATACTCAGTGAACTCATGTTTTGTGATTTGTTTCAATTGTGAGCCTGAATTATTGGGCACCATTTTGTTTTATTATTAATTTTTTAAAACAGAAGAAAGGAGAAAAACATTTTCAAACATAATAATCTATCGAGAATGCATGAGGTCTATTAATTAATGAGGTTTATTATGTCTCAAATAAAGAAGTGAACAACAAATAAGAGTTAAAGCAAGAAAATAAGCGATGCAGGAGAAAAAAGACATTCTCTGATTTTCAAGCAATAACATTTGAACGATAAAAAATTCAAAGAAAACTTATCCACTTCTTTGTGATGTAGTCAACATCAAAAATCGGACAATCATATTAAAGAAGGGGCATGACTAATTTTGAGATTTTTTTATATCTCAATTCAAAGCAAATATTCAAGGCATTTCTGTCAAAAGTATTGATCACTTATTGAGTGTCCATCTAGTTTTGAAGCATCATAAAAGGAAAGCCCTTAAACGAATATAAACATTTAGTGACATTTTGTTAACCAAGTTGAGGTATGAGTTGTTAATATATAGCATGAGGATCATGCTATTTGAAGTCAAAATTCTTGCCAATATGAGCCATGAAAGTCCCACTCTGGGGCATTTTCAAAAAGACCCTAATCATGTGGAGATAAAAAGATTCAGATCAAGAAACATCGAAGATGAGCTTCGCTACTTGTGGTAGCAAGAGCATAATATGAAGACAAGAACTTACCTTGAGAGGTAAACCATTCATGCTTCATTTGGTACAAGAATTCTAAAAATCTTTGGTTATCGTAGACCCATTTAGTCTTTCTTTGAATGATTTTTCTTAACATTGTTTTTAAAGACGTCTTTAGGTATTAAATCTACCTAACCCAAAGGCCGATGATCATTCCAAATTTATTTGTTTTTAAAACCCATCATTTCTCAAATTCGCATTTTTTATGTTAAAAAATAGTTACGACAGTTAGATTAATTTTTTGTTCAATTTAAAATTAGAGTTATTCTATTTAAATTGTTGGAGTTATTTGAATGAGTTTAAATTGATTTTAAATTTATAAAGTATAAATAATGAAAAAATTAAAAATTAAAAATTTGAACGATTTGATCTTTGTTTTAAACTTTATTTTCTATTAAATTTAAATTACACTATTATAGGTCTCCTTTATAATTAATTATTATATTTTAATATTATTTAATTTAGTCTCACGACTACAATTATTTATTACTTATTCTTACTGTCAATTATATTTTTGTTTTGTTTTATTTAATCTTATAATATCAAATTTTTATTATTTTTTCTTACCATCAATTCTTTTATTTCTTCTTTTGTATTTGTTCCTTCATATTTTCAACCAATATTTTGTATATTTTGTAAACAAATTATTCTTTAAAATTAATATTATAAATATAATATAATTTTAATAATATTTATTTATTAAATAATAATTTTACATGTAAATAACTCTTAAAATTGTATTTATTAAAAATTTAATTTATAAATTTAATTTGATTAAAAAAAGTATAAAATGAAATTTGAATAATAAAATAAATTTATGTATTTAGAGAAAATTATTTGAATAGTTATTTTTGACATAAATAGAATGCGTATATAAAATATAGTCTTTAAAATATAAGAATTGAAATATTAACTATATTAATTGAATAATGGCTATTGCCGATATCAAAATCTATATAATATTCTACAATTGGTTTAAAGCATTTTACCTTGTATCTCT